TACTTGATTCATATATTCATTGTATCTGATTTATCATCACGGGTTTATTACGAATCAACTTAACGGCCTGCTCCCAGTTGGCTTGTTAGCTCAATTGGTAGAGCGCTACACTAGTATCGCAGAGGTCAGTGGTTCGAATCCCGTACAGGCCTGATTTTTTTCAGGTCTGATTTTCGCTATTGCATAAATAGCGCTCTCTACTGCGAGGATCGTGCACATACGTATCTAATTAATATTGTCACCATTAGGCTTACAACCAATGTTGAGGTAAAGCTCTATATTGTGAAACACCGACGCAATAGTGAATTTGTTTAAAGCATGTACTTGCATTTTCGGTTTACCAACTTTTTTACTTCCAGAAATTGCGTAAAATGTGTAAATCAACTTTTTCTGGCCAATGTCTTCTTCACAGATATAGAATTTGCAGATGTCTTGGTTGCGGCATCGCTTTCACTTTATTGCGTTTATCTAAGTTAGTCTGATGACTACTAGGTCAGTTTATCACTCTTTCTGTTACGCTGGCGCGATGAACACTAATCATAAATAACTTGTAGGTTTTCTTTTTTCTAGACGTTGACCTCAGTTACATTACACCCAGACGCAACTGGGTGCAAGGTTTCATTCTATCTAAAGGCAACTCTTTTCGACTGTAAACCTCACTCAAAATATCGTGACGTAGCTCCCTTATGACCAAAAAAGCAAGTTCATATAGCCAATGGAGAGTTTGAAGCTGTTTTCAAGTCGAACGTTATCGACTACCTTTTACCTTGTGTGCAAAGAAAATGGTCAAAAATTTGTTTTCAGTTTCCTGTTGAAGCTTTTCTATCACAAGAAGTGAGCAGTTATTGTCATATTGACCTTCGAAATTAACTATTTACAAATTCTGTTAATTCCCTATCCAGTTTAAGTAATTTCAGCTTTTAAGTATTAATTCTCTGGCAGAAGAACAAGCAATACCACTGGTGTCTATCTGGTTGGAATTTTACAAGAGACATGGTTCCAAACAGCAAAAAATGAAAACAAAATCATACCTGCACTGACGGGAACAAGAACTCTCCATTTCTCTATAATCTTTTGACACATCTGCAGGCTTGCTCCTCTTTCTGGTTCTCGTCACTTTTTTCCATGTAGAGGATGGTAACATTTGAGACTTGGTCTCCACCAGGTTCCTGGCGGAGTGCGATGCTTCGGACTTACTGTTATATCGTCCCTCATCTCATCAAAGAATCCCACTGTAGCTAAAGTGAGGTCTTTTTCCGACCTAATAGATGTTTGGGCAAACTTCAGTTGTCACAAATGAGATTTGATATCCCTTGCACAGTATAACAAAGGAAATAATTCATTCTTCTTTTGAAATCTCACTGAAAAATGACAAGTGCTATTGGGATGCGAATAGAACGAACAAGACAATCGGGCAGCCATAGCTTTGGGTTGCTGCTACAAAAAATCGACCAAGTAACAAGAAAAAACAACGGCAAGACTTCACTGGCAAGAAAAGACTACGTGTTTTTTTTGTCATCTTTGTTTACTTTTCATGGCGACGGCGTTTACATTAGCCTGAATAAAGGATCTCTACCTCGAAAGTAACCATGCAATCAGACTTAACAAAGGTAAAATAAAATAACTTTTTGTTAAAGTAGAATGGGAATTTCATTCCTGAATTCTGCAAGTACATGTGACAGGAGCACGTGTCACGCCACACATCTAAATTTGCATGACGGCTGTTTTTTCTCTGGAAGGAAATTAGTCAAGTGCATCCTAAGTTTGATAGTAAATTTAACAAGTATGGCAAGTAACAAATTGTACAAAATATACCTTGCATATTTTGTTTTTAGCTGTTGACTTCCAGCGTATAAACCCGAATCGGTGTTATTAGATCTGCTAGTAACTGTCAGTGAATTGTGTCAATATCTAGGAAATGGTGCAATTTATTCAACGCCTTAACCATGCAGCCAAAACACCTGTTAATACTTTTAGAGCCAAAAAACAAAACAATTGGCGTCACGTATACCATAACACGATTTGATTCGGCTCATTAACTAGCAGCTTGTGATCACAAAGTGCTTAAATTAACCTTGCCTGTCACGCACTTCGGAAGAATATGATCATGACTATCTCAAAGAAGCCAAAAATTGTTTTTCGTCAGAAACATAGCCCTCTGATTGGGTTTTACTGTGATCACATGTTGATCGACATGTAACGTTGCCCATTGGAGATATTTGCAATTAAAAAAGCCTAGTTTTCGGTCTCTTAAAATTGTCGCGTGACATGGTTAATTATGAAATGCTCTCGATTGGCGAGATTAATTTGAGAGAAATCGGTGAGATGGCATGTGTCACGTCTGCCTGGTCCTCTCGTGGACAGACTCTTAACTCCTGACTCGGTCCAACGCGTTTTGCGGAGATGAAGATGAGAATTGCGCAAAATAGGCCTGAAACATTTGTATAAAATCTCTATCAGATATGTTGATATTGGACAAGAGTAGTTTTTTTCTGTTTAGTGATGCCACCGTTTTCTGTTTTGGTTTTTGTTGAACCCCTTAGTTCGACCAAAAGTAAACATTTCTGGAGCAAGCAATCTCATCATAGAGGGAAACAGGGTTAACTTGACGTGTGAAACTGTGGCTGGTCGGCCTGCGCCTGAGATAACCTGGCTCAAGAATAAGACTTTGCAGGAAAAAGGCTGGTCTCTCCTTTTCCATACAATAAAAAAGAGCGACGAAGGGCGGTACACTTGTAAGGCACAGAATACCGTGGGAATATTTACCAAATACGTTGATATTTCTGTTATGGGTGAGTTTGTGAATCTCACAATTATGTATTTGGTTTGTCTACTGGGTGAAAATCAATATTCCGTGGGCCGGACTTTGGACTAAGGGGTCTGGGTCTGGGCTACAGGATGGGTGAGATAAAAGTGCTAAGTAGAAAAGAATCTTAAGAAAACCGTCAGGAAAAACTTAACATCTAACGTTTCAGCAATGTTAACTGCAATGGATCAATTTGTTAGAACCAGGTCCATGATAAGTGTTTCTTCAGACCGCTTAATCTTATATCTGTTGGTGCGTGGTGATTTCAAAGCTCAGTTAGCAATCAAGCCCGACCTATTTGGATTTTTGAAGCATTTGCATGATAAAATCAAAGCCTGTTTAATCATTCATCGTCTTTATACCTATGTATTTGAGTGGTGGTGGTGCGGTGGGGGTTTTGAACATGTAATGACTATATTTGCAATTTGCAGTGTACGTTTTTTCTGCTTGCCTTGCAGTTCCACCCCGTGTAAACCTTAAGATCAAGAATGTTAGCATTGAGGTAAACTCCAAGTTTACTGAGAAGTGTTATTGGAGTGGTGATTCAGAAGTATCTGTCATCTGGACCAAGGATGGAGTGCTTCTTAGTAACAAAAACACCCTGATAATTAAACGCGCGACTTTTAAAGATAAGGGCAAGTATGAATGCACTGCTCAAAATGATTATGGCAAAGCTAACGCCTCCTTCTGGATTGATGTCACAGGTAAACTCCATACTGTAGCCTATGTCATATACTGAACTAGTAACACGAGAAAGTGTTAGTTTTTGTAGTTTAAGTGTCTCTGTCTGAGAAAGTGTTCCAGGAGCCAAAAGTGGTGGTCAACCGATTTGGCTGAGACTTGGCACAAAAGTTGAGTGTGATAAGATATTTCAAAAGCCACTTTCGCCTACTTCTCTGACTGTTTGTTCCGGAGTTTCAGGGGGTCCCATTTGTGGCCTATAGAGCACCAAGAGTTCATCCTTTGAGGTGGCATTTTGAAAGCGCTATAAAAATCCATGAGTAAATTGTGCTCCCAAAGGAATTTGACCACGGACTCTACTTAAGTGGAGCTTTTACTTCGTAAAAGTAACTTTGTTCTCAAGCGATTTGACATAGAGGGGCCTGGGGCTAAAGTTAGGTCAAATTTGAGGTCAAAATCACTACCCAAATTTGCCAATTTTCAAAAAACCATAATATTCACCTGCCCTGTTGCATAACTTTCATACCAAGTCCAGTTTGTACTTTAGTAAACCATTTATCAAAATCAGTTGAGAAAACATTTGACAATGAAAAACTGCGATAAAATATTATAAAGCATGACACGACGTTTCGACGTTTCCAGAACGTCATTATCAAGTAAACTAAAATAATAAAATCGAGTATATATATAATGAAGCGGTGAATAAATTACAAAACGTTAAAAGTTAAACAAAGAGTTTAGCCCTAATGGAATCGCTCTGGGTGTTTAAATTGGGCCTTATTGTTCTTATGTACAACATTTCATAAACAAGACAATCCCATTTCGTGCCGCATTTTTTAAGCATTCTAAACTGGCTCTCATTGAGTAAGTCAATGTTCCCATGGGCATCTCTCAGGTGGCGACCAATGGCAGAGTATCGATGATCAGCAATGCGTTGAAACAGATGGCGCGTCGTATATCCGACGTAATTTGAATCACACAAATCACATTTAAAACAGTAAACAACACTATGCTGATTTAAGATGCGTGGCTTGATTTCTTTAAGCTTTAGGTCCTGCTCAAGTTTCTTACTGGTGTAGACTGGTTGTACATCAATGCCAATTTTTGAACTGAGATCGCGCATTTGTCTTTTGGCAATGTTCACTGAGATTTGATCTTTGAAAGGAATACTGACTCTTAAAGTTTCAACAGATTTTGTCTTAGTATCTGGTGTAGAGGAATAATCACATTTGTCGATAATAAAGTTCACCAAAGAACTAGGGTAACCAAGGCGATGAAACATAGATTTTAGATGCCTACACTCATCGACGAATGCTTGATGCGTAGAGGACAATTCCTTTGCACGATGAACCATTGTTTTGATAAGACACTTCTTGTAGCGCAAATCGGTGTGACTTTGAAAGTGAAGTAAAAGGCCCGTGTTCGTAGGTTTACGATAGACCTGAGTCTCCAGCTTGTTGCCGTTCTTTGTTATCAACGTTCCAATAAAAGGAATTGAATCGTTGTTGGAAAGTTCCATAGTGAAATGAATACTAGGGTGGAGTCCATTGAGTACATTGAGGAAACTTACAGCTACATCGAGTCCAGGCATTATTGCAAGCGTATCGTCGACATAACGCTTGTAATAAGAAGGAATNGTTGTACATAAGAACAATAAGGCCCAATTTAAACACCCAGAGCGATTCCATTAGGGCTAAACTCTTTGTTTAACTTTTAACGTTTTGTAATTTATTCACCGCTTCATTATATATATACTCGATTTTATTATTTTAGTTTACTTGATAATGACGTTCTGGAAACGTCGAAACGTCGTGTCATGCTTTATAATATTTTATCGCAGTTTTTCATTGTCAAATGTTTTACCAAATCTTTGCTTATTCAGTTGAGAAAAATTTGGCTTATTTAGTTTTGTTAAGTTTTTGGCACAAATTCTCCATGCCCCTCTAAGGCGAAGCAAAATGGAATTTCGAGCATAATTCACGCTATAAACTGACCAAAGTCTTGACATACAGCCTTTATTTTGTATTTGTGGAGTGAAAAGGAAACATTAAAGCCAAATCATTGTCATTATTTAGAAATACCTCGACTCATAGCTTATAATTACTCTAATAAGGCCTCCGGTTTAGCAAAATAAAGGTAATTTTTTCCTATGAAAACCTAGTACTCATCATAGCCTAAATGATGATTTCCTGACCTAGATATAGCAATATCTTTTAAAGATGAGTGAATTTTCTCTGATCTATGTTTGTTAGGCTGTATTTCCATACATATTATACTCCAAGCGTGCAAGGTCTCTATATTTTGTCAGGCTGTTTTTTAATTGAAAGTAAAGTGACCTTAACCGGCCTTAACCATTAACCTCAGAATAAAACGATCGTTAAAAGATGATATACGCCTGACCTTTGAATAGACAGTGAATAGCTTTTGCAAATACCCATCACTTAGCGAGCATGACCATTAGCTTACGTGCCGCAGTGAGCACCGTCCAGGTGACGTGTGATCCATCAGAGATCTTAGGTACTTTAGAACTGAATAAATGGAACCATCAAACAAGGGTGAATCCACAATCAGAAGAGCTGGATGACAAAAAAATTATTGTTGCTGTTTAATTGTAGCAAATGGCCTTTTTAGTGCCACTCTCGCTTAGAGCGGCCCTCTCAACTTCCCGTCCAAACAAAATTTTCCCTCAATTTTTTCCTATGAAAAGGGTTTAGGAAACATGTTTCAAAATAGTTTTAAGGTTTCCCAATTTTCTTTTGTATGAAGATTTCAACTTTCGTGAACTCTCTACCAAGGGAAGATTAGCTAAGGTGTTGCAAAAGCAAAACCTCAGTCAACTACAGTCATTGTGCGAGTTATTTGACGTTGAGATTATAGGTAGTGCTAATCGTAAGGCATCGTATTATGAACCCCTTCTACAGTTAGCAAAGTCCTGATTGCCGCAAGTGATGGTCAACAAATCCGCGTTACTCAAAACTCAGTAAAGGTTGCGTGACTCCTCGACTTGGTAAAGTCCTCTCACTCTTGCGTCCAATAGGGTGGGTCAGTCGATACAATAACAATCGCATCTCGAGGTGTTGCATGGCATGTTTCATATAAACTGCAACACAAAATATTTGTTATTCAGCTCTCGAAACTGTGGATTTCTTATTTGCTGTCAGATGATTTAATTTATTCAGCTCTAACGTACCAGGGAAATCAGATGGCTCACAAGTCACCTGGACGCTACTCACTGCAACCTGTATGTATCATCCTGCTCTTTTACTGATGCCCTCGTGTGTACAAGAGCTAGCAAGGCTATCAAAAGTTTAACCATAGATCTGTTAACTGTGGTTTTCATAAAGCTCACTTCATATTGCATCTAAAAATGGGCCTGAGATAATATAGAGACTTTGCGTGCTTGTGAGTACAGCATGTACGGAGATATGACCTGGAGATATGACCTGAAAAATATAAATCAGAGGAAATTTTAGCATCTTTAAAAAAATTGTCCTATCTAGGTCAGCACATCATCATTTGGGCTCTATGATGGGTACTAGGTTTTCACTGAAGGAAAAAAATTACCTTCATTTTGCTAAACTGCTATGTGTTTGTAGTGCCAATCAGAGCCTTTCTTAGAGTAATTATAAGCTATGAGTCAAGGTATTTCTAAATGATGACATTGATTTGGCTTTAATGTTTCATTTTCACTCAACAAATACAAAATAAAGGCTCTATGTCAAGACTTTGGTCTGTTTATAACATGAATTATGCTCAAAATTCCATTTTGCTTGAATTGGC